AAACAACTTAATTGGGTTGCTATGGCTACTAATTACCCAATTTCTTTCCAAACCATGTGTTTTAGGTGGAATCAATTTGCGATAATTTAATTTCAGGCACCGTGATGTCTATAAACAGGTTAAGGCATATGGCAAGATCGTTTTTAACTGAACTCTTAGACAATTTTTATTTTACTTGATCTTCATCGCGCAGGCCTTTTTTTTTTCTCATTAATTTGCCTGACATCAAAAAGGGAGACAAAGATTTCGGAGCCGAGTATCTATTTTTAAAGCATTTCAGTCTATTATTTTATGTGTGTGTATGTGTGTGTGTGTACACACACACACTGTATAGTATTGTATATTGGAAAATAATGTACTTGAGTTAATCAGCTAAGTCGTAGCAACAATAAAGGCCAAGCAGGACACTTTTATGAGATCAGGAGTCCCCAAATACAGGTAGTCCTCAACTTATGATCACACGGTTGTTAGTTTTGCCCCCTTTTACGACCTCTCTTACCACAGTTGTTAAAGCGAATCATTTCAGTTATTAACTTACTAACCTGGTTGTTAAGGGAATTTGGCTTCTCCCGTGACTTTGCTTTTTAGAAGGTCACAAAAGGGGATCACGTGACCCCAGGACTTTGCAACCGACATAAATATGAGTCAGTTGCTAAGCGTCTGAATTTTGATCACATGACTGTCGGGATGCTGCAACGGCCGTAAGTGTGAAAAATGGCCCTAAGTGTCCCTTTTTTCAATGCTGTTGTAACTTTGAACAGTCACTAAATGAATGGTTATAAATCAAGGACCACTTGTAAATAAAAAGGAAGCCAGCCAGCCTGCATGCCGCATTTGCGTGAAAGTCTCTGCTACTCCACCCTTATCTTAGAAAGAAGAAAACCAGGGCAAACCAATTCCCTAAGTTGACTTAAGAGCATCTTCAGCTTCAACTGCATGAAACCCCTAACCTTCTTATAGATTTTTGCAGCTGCCTCTTCAGCTTTCAGCCAATTCTCTTTTTTTAAACAAACATAGTTTGATCCACTTCCATGGGTTTACACCACTTTACAGAATTTTTCGCAGCATTTCATTTTGGCTTATAGGATTAGAAAGCCTCTGTGTCTTGTATTGGCTCTTGATAAACTAGAATAAAAATAATAGCCAATAGCCTTGACCTTTGGAGAAAGCCAAAGAATACAAAGCAAATTAGGACTCCCGTTTAGGAAAGGGGAGAGGCAGATTCTCTCCCCAGGAAAAGTCATATTTTATTCTTTATGAAATTAAGAAGTGCAATCTTCAAGGGCAAAGTTGTTTCCAAAGAGGGCTGGAATGTTAGGGAAGGGCAAGTGCATTTTTAAAATCCCTGCTTGTACACCATCAACGGAGGAAGACAAAATGGATTATTGAATGATGGTAGGGGCTTTGGAAAAATGTGTACAGTTTAACAGTTTGAGTATCCAAAGCAAGTGGCTCAGCTTGCACACGGTACCCCCACCTACCGTCTAGCTCCTCAAAGCAGGGATGTTGAAATTTCATGGCAAAAAGTTTAGGTTTTGATAAGGCGATTTTTCAAAATCAATGGTGGAAATGGAAAGGGGAGGTAATTTTGGGGTGCAACTTTGGGAGGAGGTTTTTAGGAATTCACCACCCGGGGAAATTGAATGGTTTTCTTCTTAGATGTTTCCTGCCCCATCCTGATCCCCAAACATCCAGAAAAGTGCCACAAATGACACATTATGCCCATTACGCAACACTGAGTACTGTAGATATCTCCTATTCTCAAGACCAGGAGAGTAGTAGCCAACTTTTTATTGATTCAAAAAAGGTGAATGAAAGAGGTCTTGAATTTAAATGCTGGAACGGGCTTATAAACAGGATTTGATTCTGGGCCTCTACAGGAAACACAACATCTGCACACAGATCACTCCTGTCATGTGTGCAATAGAGCAACTTATCCAGCTGTGTTGTGTTTGTGAGCTTCTGCTGTAAGCAAGTTCTCAAATACGGTTGAGTATCTGGAGAATACAGATTTATCACCATGCCTGGGGTGAAGTTTGACATCCAGTAGAAGACATCCCACTTCCAGCAGCTTTTCCATCAGTTTTGGCCATTTTTCCAACTGCAGCTTAATGTAGCATCGTGTGCATTTTGTGGCTCAGCGGGAACATCATAATTTTGAGAAAATTAAGCATTAGCATTGGGTGGGTTGGGAAAAAGTCTTGCGGAATCAATTTTATCACATTAGCACATGGAGTTAGCCATGAAATTACATCCACCGCTTTCCAATCGACTCCCAGGAACAGCAGAGGGAGCAGCTGAAAGACACCACGCTAGATCTTGGCTCCGTCATATTTTGAAGGCTGAGTGAACTTTTTACAGGACATCAGCCTGCTCCAGATGTCAATGAAATCTAATTTAATGTATTACACTGTAATTATTTTATAGAGTACAAGCTGTAACTTGAATTAAGTAGCTGACACTGAGTTGTTCGTTCCTGACAAGGGTGTATATCACCACTCTCGTAGAGCAGATAAAATTGCAAAGATCGACAAGGTCCCTCCCTGATGGAGAATGATGGCAAGTGATTGTCAGAAGATGGTTTGAGCTTTGAGTATGTTCCCCCCACCCCAACTGAATGCACTCAGCAAGAGCTGACAACCAAATAGTACATTGCATAGTGTCTACTCAATCATCATGAATTTAAAAAAAATGCATCCATCTCTACTCTTTATTTTTTAGATATTTTTAGATTGATAGCACAGCAACAATCCCTTTGGTTTTATGTAAGCTTCTTTGCTTGAGCTTTAGCCAGTTTGTGGAGAGAACTAACACTTTACCCATTTAACCAAGAAGGAAAGAAGGATCAAACCAAAGAATAACCAACTTTGTTTATCTCTCAAGGATGGACTCAGAAATATAAATGTGGTGGCCTCTCATTTGGCATGTCCTTTAGAGTTCCATGTTGGAAGGGACCTTTGGAAGCGTGCTCTGAGTCCAACACCATTCAGCTGAATTATCATTAGCCATATGAGGATCACAAGCATTTCTACAGCATGGAGGATAATTAAAATTGTTGTTTGTCCATCTGACCACTGGGGCTTTTGGGTTGGACAGAGATGGGCTAAGCAGAAGGATTGAAACCAGCCACTCCTGCTGCTTAAAAGTGACTTGTGCTGATTCTAGACCAGTGTTTCTCAACCTTGGCAACGTTTAAGATGTGTGGACTTCAACTCCCAGAATTCCCCAGCCAGCCCAACTGTGGGGAATTGACTTGGCCTGCTCACAAAACCGAAGCGACACCAGGAAGTTTGACCAAATGAAAAGCAAAGCTAGTAATCCCCAAATTGATGCTTGGAATATTGGGATACTTCACACTGGCTAGAGATTTATACTGTGGAAACGGAAATCCAACGGATTTTTTTGATCATAGAATTGGGGTATGAACTACATGTTGCCCTGAATACATGAAATTTCCACCCCTTGGTAATACAAGCATTATATGCATTGCTTTGCAATAATAAATTTATCCTTCTAATCCGATTAGAGTGAACAGGCATACTGTATGGAGGATGCATTATCAAAACCCAGAGAAACATGGGATGAAAAGAATGAGTGTGTGTTTGTGTGTGTGGAAAACAGACTTTCCTGCAAAAGCTGTTTTTCAAAAGAAATAGATTTATGAGTATCCAAATAAGCCAGAGCAGCAAAGGGGCTTTCTTCCCTGCTTTGAATTTTAAAGCCATGTTCTTGTCAAACCCCTCGCAAACATTCCCTGTGCAGAAACCAAAGGAAAGAAATAAAATAACCCTCTTAAAAAGAGCATTTTACAATTCATCGTGGCAGCTAAACCAGCTGCATCTCCGAGTAGTGTAAGCATATTAGCTTTTTGAACACTATGTACAAAAGCTCTTATTTATTTTGCGCCTTTCAGCTGTGCGGGATAAATTCAACATTTCTCTCCATTCTCCCCATCTTTATTTTTAATGTGCTACAAAAAGTTACTTGCAATGAGTTTTCATAACATCCTTTTAATTTAGATGATGGGCAACAGAAGGAGCTTTAATTTGCGTAATGCATTAAAGATATCGCTTTTTAACTAGGTTTTTTTTTAATTTGGATCTTATTTGCCATTATGAAGAATCTGGAAAACTGAAGATGAGTTATTTGTATAGTGTTACCAAGATTTTAATAATCAGTTCAGGTATTTGCAGAGAGGACAATTAATCCTAACCACATTGATGAAAATAGGAATAAAGGCCTTGATTTCTTACTAGGAAGATAATTTTACAATTGGGATGAAATCTCTAACCGAAAGAAAATAATTATGGATCAATGAAAGACCATTTCCTTCAAATGCAGCAGGTCCTATATGCAATATTCAATTTCTCTGGGATTGAAGAAGACCCCTCTTCAAAACACTGCAGAGCTACTCTTAGGCTCCCTTGCCAATATTTTATCATGATAATAATAGCAACCAGTTATCAGCTGAGTCTACGCATTGACTTAAGCCAAGGTTTGCCCCTAGTTAGTTGAGTAAACTACAATTGGCTGACTTAACACCTGATGGCTGGATTTACAAAAAAGGAGCTATTGTCAATCACAGAGGTTCTATAAAACGTGAAAATCCAAATTGATTGCCTACGTTTCATATGCTCAGCATTTAATAATTTGCACTGTTTGCATTGAAATCTTTCCTCCACTGCTGTTGGTAACGGAGGATTTTGTATGAGATCATCACCTCAGTTCATTTGATGATTTATTAGAACTTGACTACAAGAAGAGCAGAGCACCACCCAGGAAGACTCTCCTTCCTACAGGGGTCAGCTGGATGCCCTTTGGTAGGCCTCAAAGGGCCTGCTGCCCAAGAATTTGGAATGCTAAAATCCAACATATGTGGAAAGCACACATTGCCTGGAAAATCCACTATGCCTTTTCATCTCAGAGAAGACTCAGTGCATTCTTTGCTTGTGTCGGTAAGGAAGATGAGCAAAACACCCATGCCATTGGCTACTACTTACCACTGTCTATTGCCAAAAACGATGCTGTGTAGATGTTATTCAAGACGGAGGGGGATTCACGATCAAGCATGCCCTTGGTGCGAATGGTTCCATTTCCAGGGTTAATTTCCAACCAGTCTGCTGGATCTCTGTCAGTGGAGTATCTGCCAAAATGAACAGATAATAATCAATGATACCAATAGAAGAGAATCTTTGTGGCTCAGGGTTGAACTGCGGGGTCCCTTGGTGCTTTCTGAGCTTGGGGGTTTTCTTGCAGACATTTCATGACCCAACTAGGGAACATCATCAGTGTTACAAGGGAGTAGAGTTTGTGGGGCAGAGGAGGAGAAGGAAGAGAACTGTGGGGTCTTTGTTTTCTTGCAGACATTTCATCACTCAACTAGATATCATCAATGCTAGAAAGGGCGGTTTGCGGACAGGAGGAGGAAGAAAAAGACTGTGGGGTCCTCTCCGAGCTTGGTTGTTTCATTACCCAAGTAAGGAACATTATCAGTACTAGAAGGGAGAGGGGTTTGTAGAAAGGAGGAGGAGGAGGAGGAAGAGGAGGAGGAGGAGGAGGACGACGACGACGACGACAACGACAATGACGACTGTGGGATCCTCGGTGCTTTCTGAGCTTCATTTTCTTGCAGACATTTCACAACCCAACTAGGCAACATCATCACTTAACAACAGCACCAAAAATGATCATAAAGTCTTAGTCCTTGAGAATGCATGACATAAATTACATATATTCTTTCAATATTCATCACGTAGTGACAACGTGTGAAGCAGGAGAAAGGATGGGAAGATATCATAAGAATATTTTTAAGACATTTTACTTCCTCGAAAGCAACTCCTTCTTTTCACCCAGATTCTTAAATTTCCTTGTGTTTTTAGACAAGCAATAGCCAGCAGTGACAAGGATCTACACACCTATGTGGGGAGGGAAAAGATGGACGCTATGTTGGGTTTCAACTCAAATTTCTAAAAGCTTCCCACTCGAGATTCTGTGCTGTGCTCATTAGATCTCTGTTTCTCAACTTTGACCACTCTAAGATGTATAGACTTCAACCCCCAGAATTCCCTAGCTGGGGAATTCTGGGAGTTGAAGTCCATACATCTTAAACTTCCTAAGATTGAGGAACGCTACCTTAGATCTTGACTTAAAAGAGGCCTCTTTATGGAGCAAAGGCAGACTCTTTGTCAGTGATGTCACAGAGATGTTTGTGACTGTAGAAACAAAGCACTGCATTCCCCAAAGCATCTCATTCACACCAAATGACAATGGTGCTATTTGGCATCATCGAGAATGATTAGAAAGGAACAAAGAACGCAGCCGATACAAGCTGTTGTGATTAGCAAATGATACAGTCTACCAACTCCGCCTGTGCCTGTTTTTCATAACCATTAAAGCCCAAATCCACAGAGCATCTTACGATCCATAGTGATGAATACAGTGCGCGACAATTACAGTGCGTCTAATTATTTCACGCCACTCCTTTATTCCATTACAAAGAATAATTCTGAAACAAAGATGCACATCAAACTAGGAGACAAGGTAGTTGAACTCATTGCAAGGTGGAGAATATCCCATTGATCCCAAACAATATGTTTGTGTGTGTGATACATGTGTGTGCACATACTCTTCACATACAAACACACACACACACACACACATAACACACTCAGCTTTGCAGAACAATTGAAAAAGATTAACCAGTGCTTCTATGTTCACAATTGACACTGCCTTGGAGAAATGGGCAGTTCTCACCAATCTGTTCCGATTGTGTGGCGAAGATAAATTGCACAACACATAATTTGACGCAGAGTATTATTTGTCTTTCTCCCAAATTAATTCTTCTCTCAAAATTTACCCATTGTAAGTACATAATACTCCTTAACTAAGGTGATTGTTCCTCACTGAGGTTCTTTTAATATGCAAATATGAGTTTCCATCACCTGAAGAATAAAAATAAAATATATATGACAAATAAAATCATAGCAACACAGGGTCCTGATTTAGAAGGTGTGTTTGGGACCGATTTAAGCAGATTTTGTCCCCCTGTTTGTAGACCTCTCTACTTTCCAATCTGTACACTTATATCTTCCTGGGAACAGGGCTTAGTTCTCAGCTGTAGAATGAATATATCCAAATTGGCTTAAATCCAGTAAGAACAATTTTAAATTTCACATAAAAAGAGAGCTGGGCAATTTAGAAGAACCAGAAGCAGGACCTAACAGGATTTATATGTCCACCACAACCAGAAGCAAAATGAGTGTGTTAGTTCCTATCTCACCTCTTATTTTGTCCATAGAATTATTGAGTTGGCCAGACGTATTTAGCCCATCAACCCAATTTGTATTCATTGACATACCAGATATTGAAACATCCCAGGCAGATACAGATAGTTCTCGACTTACAGCCATTCTTTTAGTGACCATTCAAAGTTATAACGGCACTGAAAAAAGGGACTTATGACTGCTTTTCACACTTACAACCATTGCAGCATCCCCAGGGTCATGTGATCAAAATTCAGATGCTTTGGCAACTGACTCATATATATGACGGTTGCAGTGTCCCTGGGGGGGTCATGTGATCCCCCTTTTTGCAACCTTCTGACAAGCAAAGTCAATGAGGAAGCCAGCGAAATCTGGGGGCTGGACAGGGGACAGATTGTATCTGCCCTCAGTGTGGAAAGGGCTGCCATTCTCAAATTGGCCTTTTTAGCCACACCAGATGCTGCCTTAGGACTTCTTTCCAGAGCATGGTACCATAGTCTCTCGAGACTGAAGGATGCCAATGATGATGGATGGATGGATGGATGGATGGATGGATAGATAGATAGATAGATAGATAGATAGATAGATAGATAGATAGATATCAAAATTGAGAGAGAGAGAGAGAGAGAGAGAGAGAGAGAGAGAGAGAGAGAGAGGAAGGAAGGAAGGATGGCGAAAGAAGAGAGCATCTCGCCAAAGAGAAAGCACCTGCAAATTTATTTATTTAATGATTCTCTTCTGGGGCATCAGATTATCTGTAATTTCAAGACAAGCAAAGAGCAGAAGACGGCAAGTCAACCACAGCTGCCTTTGACCCTGCTCCCTCTGCATTTGCCCTTCTGATCAGGCCTCCACACTGCAAACCTGGTTCTTAACACTGACATCAAGAGAATGACACACACACACACACACACCTCGATAGATAGCCAAAAAACAAGTCTTGGGCGCTCAGAGAGATGCCTTTTTATTGCCTGTAATTTTGATAATCCTTTGTTTCTGATTTCTTTTTTTCAAAAGCCCCGTCGGATAAATGGATTTCCCACCAACGCGGGATATTTGCGACCCAAATTGGCCCCGTCAATTGGGGAAGTTGGGTTGGGTCTATCAATTGAATTTTGCTACCTCCTGTCCAGGATTCTGCATCCTGCAGCCCCTTTCTTCATGTTGACAAACTCTGTCCACCAATGAAAAGGAAAACCCAGGGAGAAATTGGGAGCTTAGCTGTCTTAATTAAAAACAAAAGCTGGGCCATTTACATTTTTATTTATTTACTTGAATAGATAAATAGAACTACAGAGTCCTGGGATTGTGTGATTGTCATTTGCAACCTTTTTATTGTATACTTCTCAGAGTCCCATTCTGACAGAGATGGGCAGTTCAAAAGTGTCCAAAATAAATACATTTAAAAACCTTTTTAAAAAGATTTTTTTTTACATTTTTAATAGCTCTTGCCTTACCTAGTGGTGTTTTGTAGCTTTAAGTATCCCCCTCGTCCCCCACCTCTCTCTCTCTCTCTCTCTCTCTCTCTCTCTCTCTCTCTCTCTCTCTCTCTCTCTCTCTCTCTCTCTCTCTCTCACACACACACACACACACACACACACACGGTCTCCAGGTCTCAAAAACCTTTGGACGCAGATGGGACTATCTCTTCCATTTATCTACCTGAGGCTAAGCTTGTAAATGCAGATCAAGTTCAAAATCCAAGTGGAACTGCCCAGAAGAAAACCCTACATTTTTGCCATGTTCTTTCCCCCCCACTCTTGCTTTTGGGGGGAAAAAGCACGCCATGAATGTTAAAAAGCACTTGTAGTTTCCACGGAGACCAGGTGCGTCGGCAAACAAAGAACTGGAAAAAGTTTCTTCTCCAGAAAGGTGTGGGAAAACCCTGAGTTCTTGGTTCCGCTTGGTTTGCTCTGCAGCTAATCTCCTGCCTACGTTTGACTGTTCATATGGGAAGTCATAAGCTGCCGAAGAGTTTTTTTCCCATTAAATATTTGATGATCGAGAATGCAGGAGTCTGCATGTGTTAGCAAAGCCATGATAATATGTGAAATGTGCAACGGGCCATAAAAACAGTTCCTGGAGTGTGGAGAGATTTCAAAAGATATCAAATGAGGGTTTTTTTCTTCCTTTTTCCCCTTCTCCTTTCTGCCCTCAGGATCCAGGTGAATTCTGCGCCGAGATGTGAACTCTAATAATAAATAACAAAACTTAAGTGTGCTGTTCTTGTACAAAGCCGGGGAAAATGTTCGTAATGTTCCCATTTAAACTCTCCTTTCAAGCCACAATGAACCTAGATTGCCGATTGTCACTATAGACCGTCATTGAAAGGAAGGTCAGCAATGTCTGAACATCAAATGTTTGGGCTTTTTGTTACTATTAGATTCTTAAAATGACATTTTATTGCTGTGGACATGTTTCAAAGCAGCCTTTTAAACACAACATGATTTGTTGTTTTAATTTCAAAATGGACTGATTTCACATTGTAAGAAGCCACGGGAAATCTATTAGTCTTGAGAGGCAACTCACAAATATATTCAGTGTACACACACACACACACACACATACAACCACCACAAAGATTAAGGCAACAGCCTTATTTGAACGGTACAGAGCCCTCCAAGGGGTTTACTATAATTCCAGCTAATCTGTATTTTTTCTTTACCCTCAGCTTTGCCCTTCTTTGGACATCAACATCAAGGTAACCATTTTATTTTTATTTTTGCTTTCTATTACATATTTTGTGTTTTGATCGGTTCTATTGCGAACCGCCTAGAGACCTGCAAAAGTGAATTGAATGGCGATTTAAACAGAGCACACACAAACAAGCCAACAACACTTTTAACCTTTCATTATCGCATGACTAGGAAATTCACCAGAG